TCTCAATTTTGGACCCTTTATGTTGGGAATTTTCCGTTGTGCAATTGCATTAAATCTGAGGCGGCTGACAAGAGCACGATGTTTTCTAACTCTACACAAGGTTAAATGACTGAAATAAAAATAGATGGAAAAGAAAACAAAGTAAAATAGGTTTGCTTTCTCATGTAACGGCAGGCAGTAGCGTGAGGTCAGGGACTTAATGATAGCCCAGCCATCAGTCAGGGACCGTGAAACAACTGATCCTTCCTAAATCACTTTGGAAATTATCTTCTGTTTCAGACGCTCATTCTCTTTCATTCACACAGATCATATAACCAAGAAGACTGTGTTCAAACTCATCATTTTTATATAAATTGTGGTAATAATGACTATATTTGTGAAGCATTTTTCCTTCTAAATGCCAGGGGTCTAGTATGTTATTTGCAGTATTTTCCTTACTAGGAAACGTATGTTTTTTACTACTGCCTGTAGGAAAAATACACGCTGGCCTGGTGTCACAGGAAGGGGAAAGGCAATCTGTGGAGCAGTAGGGTGGTCTTGCACACAGAAGAGTCGATGAATTTACAAAAGCAAATGTCAGGCCAAGACGGCAGCTAGAGGTAAAGCAGGAGCTCTGATCTTCAGAAGGAAGCATCAGTTGGGTGGTGGATCGCGGAGCCTTGCAGCCTCGTGTGTGGCGCGTGGGTCACTCTCCTGCAGCACGGCGGGATCCTTCTGGAGTTGTTTTGGCTCTATATTCCCATCCAACAGGGCTTTCACTTTTGCCCCCGTTTTACATCTCACAGATTTTGTTTTCAACCCAAATTGCAAAGGTGGCTGTTCTTTTCCTCTCTGAAGTTTAGACAAAATGTCAGACCAGCTTCAGCAGGTACCAGCCCTCTAGTCTCTTGCAGATTGTCAGCACGATGCTGCTTGAACGTTTGTTAAGGAAAGTTTCATAAATAAAAGCAAGGGAGGGTGCTGTTTATTGCTATAATTTTCTTATTGAAGCAGAGCTTGATGCATTTGCAGAGTTACTAGCTTTTGTTCAGGTAAAGAATGAGGTGACCTCAAATGCTAAATCCCATTTTCATAGAATCATAGAATAGTTTGGGTTGGAAGGGACATTTAAAGGTCATCTAGTCCAACCCCCCCGCAATAAGCAGGGACATCTTCAACTAGATCAGGTTGCTCAGAGCCCCGTCCAACCTGACCTTGAATGTTTCCAGGGATGGGGCATCCACCACCTCTCTGGGCAACCTGGGCCAGTGCTTCACCACCCTCAGTGTAAAAAATTTCTTCCTTATATCTAGTCTACATCTACCCCCCTTTAGTTTAAAGCCATTCCCCCTGGTCCTGTTGCAACAGGCCCTGCTAAAAAGTCTGCCACCATCTTTTTTATAAGCCCCCTGGAAGTACTGATAGGCTACAATAAGGTCTCCCCGAAGCCTTCTCTTCTCTAGGCTGAACAACCCCAACTCTCTCAGCCTTTCTTCATAGCAGAGGTGTTCCA